AATCAAAAGGTTTGCTTTCCTCTTTCTCTGCATTCCTGTAAACGTCTGCAGAGCTGCTCTCTTCCTTACTGCAGTCAAGAGAAGCAAGATTCTTGACTCTTTCCAGATCTGTTTTAAGCCAAATAGAGCTGTTTAGGGGATTGTCCTATACTGAAGCAAACCCCATCTCTGGCCCAGTTTCCTATCCAAATTCTGCTTTTCTGGTCCAGCTGGACTCTGGGGAGTATGAGCAGCCTGTGGGTGTCAGAGCTGTCGATGGAACCTGGCAGGGATGGAAGCTGCTAGCAGCTGAGCTGATGATCAAACCTTCAGAGATTTGGTCTCGAGATGAAAAAGAACTGCAGCTCTTCACATGCTTCCCACTCAGGCTGGGACCTGCTGTTAGTGCTGCTTTCCAGCTCTGGTAAAGGCGGATGGTTCGGGCTCAGTGTCAATGAACTGTGGCTCCCACACAGTCCCTTGCCTCTCATGCCACTCCTCTGTGCCCTCGAATGCCAGCAGGGCAACCCCTTCAGAGGGATGACAGGAATTAGCTTTGGGAGAGGTGTGTGCCACAGTTTGCTAACATACCTTGCTTGCTGTTTTTATCTCAACCAGGGTCCATGTTTTCACAAGCAATGAAGAAATGGGTTCAAGGAAACACAGATGAGGTGTGTCCTCTTTCATGTTGTCCTTGTGACTTACTTTCCAGTATATATGAGGGAGATAAAGTATTAAAGTCCTTAATCCTGGCTGTTTCTCTCAGTATCTTTTTTGCTGCACCAACAAGAACTGTGAGACTGTGTGCTAAATATAATCTGATTGCATGGATGTGTGAAACTAGTTTGATCTTTGCCAGTGCTTGCTGGTTTAACTAATATAATGGTTAAATGTGTGCTTGCAGTCTGGGTTTTTCTTATTGTAGTGTTATATAAAATCATAGAATGGTTAGGATTGGAAGGGACCTTAAAGATCAAGTAGGAGTGGAGGTGCTGTTGTTTGTTTTTTACCATGAAGTGACCACTGTACATGGATTATAGGCTGCATTTTTCTCCCCCTCAGAGGGGCTTGGACAAATCCCCAACAGCCAAATCTAAAAACTTCGCTAACTCTCTTGGAAACTGCATCGAGCCATAAATATAAAAATAAAAGCCAGGTGCATTTCCATCAAGGGAGGACACGTTTGTACAGGTCACTGAGTTGTGGAGGTTAACCACGACTCCAAGTGCATTGTGCTGAGGGCACTGTGTTTTTATTTCAAGAACCTGAAGCTATATCTGTATTTTGGGCTGTTTTTTCCACGACAGGCTCAAGAAGAGATGGCTTGGAGGATAGCAAAGATGATAGTCAACGACGTCATGCAGCAGGCGCAATGTGAACAGCCTTCGGAGAAGGTTACGAAGGTGAGGGGGTGGAAAGGCTGCCTGTCTTCATCTGGCTCAGGCCAGGCTGTGGGAGGAGCAGAGCTCTCACTTGCCTTCCTCGTGCCTCTGAAACCCACGCTGGTAAATGTTCAAACTGGCATAGCATGATATGAAGAAACAAAGGTTGGAAGTGTTTCGGCCTACGGATGATGTAGGAATTTCTTAACAGATGCCTGTGGTGGTTCTCCTCTGCAGGCATTAAGCTGGTCTTAGTTTGAGTCTTTACAAACGGCCTTATTAGTTAAAAGGGTGATTTGTGTTGCAGGATCAATACTGTAATTCCTTACTTGAGTTCACACTTGCTGTTTCTTGTTAATCAATACTTGTACATCTGCCTGAAGTGTCAGTAAAACTTGGGGCAGTTGTCCCGTTGGGTGCACTCATTTACACAGTTCTGTCCTTAGACTTTAAAAGGACACAGCAGCCCTGGCCATAGGCTGGGGGTTGAGTGTTGTGTGTTGGTGTTTGGTGACTGTGGTGGTGTTCAGCCCATGTGTTCTCTGTTTAGTTCTGATGCAGCAGTTGGATTTGGTGAAATGTTGGTGACAGCAGGTTACCAAGTTAATGTCTGGTACTTCTGACTGCCTAAAAATTAACTGGCATTATGTTTAGTTGTGGAAGGTAATTTAGTTATTAGACCCAAATAGGTGAATCCATAGTTTCACTATGTGACTGCTTCCTTTCTAATAGACCAGTTATGTTTAAATAACTTGTGTAATGATTTCATTTGATAGCTTGGCTGCAAGTGATACAATTCCAGTCTGGCTGGATGAAAAGGTCCCTCAGCACAGTATTTAGAAATATCAAGTGGCTGCAGATGCTCTGGATTCAATTATGCAAATAATCAAAAGGTTGAGTGTGTTGGGATTAGATTTGGGGTTTTTCCTCTCTCAAACATACCTGGCTTCAATGTTTTTAAACACAAAATATCTTTCTATTGAGCAATTGCCTTTGTATGTTTTATGGTAGAATGTTCTCTAACCCTGTTTTTCCTTTTCCAGCTATGATTTTAGAAACTCCAGAACAGGAAATCTGTTTTTCCACTTCGAGAATGAGTGAACTTTCCCTTTTGGTGGATTCTTTAACACAGCCAATAAAAACAAAGCACTGTTACTTCAACCGCCGAGATCTCCCTCATTTCTAAGGAAGAATGAAAGAGAAGCAATCCTGGACCTCCACTGTAGAGAGTGAAGAAACACTTTTTCCTGTTGTATGTGGCATTCACAGTAATGATGGTTTTTAGAGATGAAGATGCAGTTTACAAATGTGTCACTGAGAAACTGTGATCGACTTCACAAATACTTGACCCTGTCTCAAAAAGACTTTTAAGCAAAATGTCTGGAATGGGACACAGACCACAGCAGAGGGGAAGGTTTTGCTGTAATTTCTAGTTCTACTACTTATAATTTTTAAACATAATTGCAAAGGCCTCGGGACACATCCCCTCCACTGGCCACTGGAGAGGTGAACCTGGAAGGGTGAATTCATGGGCAGTGAATGACCTAGAAAGTTCTTAAGTTTTATTTTCCGTTACTTGAAATAGATGAGTATTCAACTGTAAGATAAATGTATTTTACTTCATAACTACATTAACTTTGAGGGCAGGATAGAAGGATCAGGAGCGAAGCCTGGACAGTGTAACTCCTCCTTGCTGAGCTCGTGCCCCTGCACACACACATCCCCTCCTTCCACCACGGAGCACACTCGGATCCTGCACCTGGGCAGCTCCCAAGCCACGGCTCCGAGCAGGTTGGACCCTGGAAACTGCTCCATTTTCTGTCCTCTCCATCCCACGAGCGAGGAAAAAAAGTAATTGCTGCCATTCTCCACTGCTTGTTGTCCTCCAACCAACACAGTATCTAATTCCAGATGTTTGGTTTACAAAGAAAAGCAATTTTTAATGACCTCTGGCCTTCTTCCTGACACTGTCAACACTTACCATGTTACACAGCACCTCTTTTTTTTTTTTTCCAGTGAATTGATTTTTGCAGGGTATCAGAAGTACTCAGTGTCTCACCATTATGTTACTGCTGCATTTTTAGTATACAACACTTATTTTGGGTCTTTTTTTTTTTTTTTACTCTGATAATTGCTTTTTTCCTCAAACTTGTGCAAAGGAATCACTATGCGAAGAACTCAAATCATTTCCAATGTTCAGAATATCTTGATTGACTAGCAGGTGTTATTCTGTTGCAATATTCGATTGTATAGAGACACACTGTATTGTCTATGAAAAAGCAAAAGGAAAAAAAAGGCTGTGTATAGGTTTTTGGTACTATGTACCACCTCTTATTTCTCTCATACCCAAGCATTCATGTACTTAAAACATACTATATTTAATTGTGTTTTGATTTAAAATATATAAATATTAAAATTTGTGTCAATTTTCTGTTTTCCTGGGATTTGGAAGTTACGTGGGGTTCTTTTAGTGTGAGTTTTAGGGGTTTATAAAAGAAACAAATCCCTGAATGCTTTGTCCTTGGCAGTTTTGGCCACGTTTCCTTAATGGATTTTGTTAATGGCAGTGTGGTGAAATACTAAATAATACTAGTAATAATAATCTAATCTACAGGACTAAATCACAGGACATGTCAGAATTGGCTGGGAAAGGGGTAGAAGGGGCAGGGCTTGGTGCTGTAATGCAGTATTGAACTGTGCCTGCTTGAATCCTCTTCTGTGCAGGAATTTAACCCCTCACCTGTTCTTGGTGCGAGGCTGACTCAGTTTTCCAGCTGGGCAGGATCCAGACTAGCCCGTGAGCGCGTTCAGGGATTAGAGGCCCCGGGTTTGGGTGTGAGTGTTGCACAGGGCTGAGTTCCTTAAGCTGTTGTGCTGTCTGAGGTGGATGTGGTCACATGGAGTGTGAGACTCGGCTGACCTTGAGTCGTTCTGGGTCTAGTTTCGGTACCGAACACCGGAGGTGTGTTTTGGAAGGGCACCAAACCCCCTCGCGTGGGCAGCGCGGGCGGTGCCCCGGGGGAGTCTCGAACCCGCGGCCCAGGGTCGGCGCTGCCCGCCGGCCGCCAGGGGGCAGCAACGCCGCACCCGGCCGCTCCCGCCGTGGCCACGCCCCTTCCGGCCCACGTGGGGCGCGCGCACATGGCCGCGGTGAGCGGGAGCGGGGAGTGGGGTCGGATTGCTGGAATTCCACGTGGGATGCTGGGCGGGTGGGGATGCTGGGGCGCTCTGGGGTTCCCCCGTGGGGCTCCCGCTGACCCCATCCCGCGCGGGGTCCTGCTCAGTGCGGGGGGTTTCTCCCTCCCCCGGTGTCCACGCCGGGTCCCCCCGTAGCGGCTCCTTCTCCCCCACGCGGGTATCGTTGCCCGGGTGGGGGGCTGTCCCCGCTGCCCGGTGGGGTTCCTGGCCCTAAGCGCGCTGTCCCGCAGAACATGTCGCCGGACGAGGATGTGCAGCGGCTCCTGATCCAGTTTCGGGATGAGGCAGGAGAGTCCCTGGGCTCGCCCTTCGACGTCCCGGTCACCATCACACCAGACAAGCTGCAGCTGGTCTGTAACGCCCTCCTGCAGAAGGTGAGACCCCTCCCGAACTGCCCCGGCACTCCCGAGCCCTACCCGGGGCTGCCCCTCGCTACCTCACCTGCCCTTTCTCCCGCAGGATGAGCCGGTGCCTCTGGCCTTCTTCGTCCACGATGCCGAGATTGTGGCGTCGCTGGAGAAGACCCTGGCGGGGCAGAGCGTGGAGACGGAGAAGGTGCTGGACATCATCTACCAGCCGCAGGCGGTGTTCCGGGTGCGGGCGGTGACGCGCTGCACCAGCTCCCTCGAGGGGCACACCGAGGCCGTCATCTCCGTGGCCTTCAGCCCCACCGGAAAGTACGAGGGTCTGCCTGCAGGCAGGGGGCTCGGGGCTCGGCAGCAACTGCTCTTGTCCTCTCCTGGGGACACTGTGCTGAGCTGGGGTCTTCATCCTCTCCCAGGTACCTGGCGAGTGGATCTGGAGACACCACCGTCCGCTTCTGGGATCTCAGCACGGAGACACCGCAGTTCACGGCCAAAGGTGAGTGTGGGGTGTCCCTCAGGGACCCCCTACCTGCTTGGGGGACAAGCAGAGCAGAGCCTGGTGCTGCCTGAGCTGTGTAGGCAGAACCATGGCTTGGGGAGGGAAAGGCTCTCTTTGACGAAGTGGAAGAAGAGGGGCTGGCCAGGAGGAGCACAGGGGGTTCCCCCCATCTTGTACTTCCTTGGAGTGGCTTTCTGCTGGGACATTAAGGATAATCACAGCTCTCCACTCATGCCCACTCGTGCTCTCTCTGCCAGGTCACCGGCACTGGGTGCTCAGCATCGCCTGGTCACCGGATGGCAAGAAACTGGCCTCGGGCTGCAAGAATGGCCAGGTACGTGTTGGCTCCCTCTGTGTGGGGGTGGGGGTTTGGAGACCCTCTGCAGCCCCATTCTGAACTCAAACCAAACTTGGTGAAGGGCTGTGGGGGATTAGGGGTGAAGGCTTGTGTTTCCTGGGCTGTGAGGGATGTATCCAGTTGTTTCAAGCAGGATTGCTGTGCCCCAGAGGAGCTCTGTGTGTGGATGCATTGTGGTATTGCAAGTAGTGTCTCCAGACTCTGTGCCAGGCAGAGCTCTGGCTTTGTCACCTTGTGGACCTCTTGTTGCTGAGTCCTGTCTTGTGGCAGATGCTTTTCCCTCCGTGCAGGAAAGAGTCCAGGCTCTAGATGTGGTCCCTGGCAGGCGGCTCCATCACAAGGGAGGTGTCTGGATTGAGAATGGTTATTGCCCAGCCAAGCCAGGGCTGCTGTTAATGTGACCCAGACATGCAGCAGCAGCCTGTTTTGCAGCGTTCTCACACAGATACAGCCAAATTCCCTCTTGTAGAAATGTGAAGGGGGCTCTGCCCTGGCTGTGGGGAAGAATGTGTGTGCTTAAGGTGCAGAAATGCCTCAGGAAGCGGGAGCACTCAGCTAAACGCGAGTCAGGAACTTGCTGAGCTGTAGAGGGGCAGTGGCTCACTCTGACCTTCGAACAATCTGGGAGCAGTGAGAGCAGCCATGGAACTGCCAAGGTTGTGATTCCATCCCCAAGACTGGGCCAGGGTGGTTCTGCTGTGGTTTGGTGCTGGTCTGGCTTTAATCGAACCCAGGGAGCTTCTTGTCCTCTATTTCCCTATTTTTCCCAGGTTCTCAAGTAGGAGATGACTAATACCTTGGCTCTTTAGATGAACATTTATGTAGAGAGAGAATCAACAAGAGAAAACCAGCATGTGTCCCACCCACAGAATCTGATAATAAGCAGCACTTAGTGCGCTGTGGCTTTCGTCGCGCTCTGCAAACACTCACTGAGTCTCTGGCACAGGGTGGCTTTTTGGGGACCTGTATCCGTTTTGAGTTGAGTCAGATAATTTAGTCAGATAATTTGTAGCAGCAGCGCTGTAGGCAGAGAGGAGGGCAGTCAGCTCTCATTCTTTTGGGTGTCAGCTGACGGCTGCAGGGATCTGGAAAGGCACCCAGCCCCCTTCCCTTGCTCCTCCCTGCCTCTGCCAGTTTCAGCGGACACCAGGGACACCTTTGCTTCCTAAATGGAGCTCCAGCGTCCCTGGGATTCACATGATGTCTGTGGCCTGACGTGACCCTCTCGCTTCCTCTCTTGGACAGATATTTCTCTGGGACCCAGCCACGGGCAGCCAGATCGGCCGGGTGCTGTCTGGCCATTCCAAATGGATCACATGTCTGTGCTGGGAACCGCTCCACATGTAAGTGAAGGGCCAGCCCAGCCCTTCCCCTTGACTCCTATGGAAAAGAGCAGCCTGACCTGAAGGGCATTGCTCCTGTTTGCCTTTCTCCTGTTATGGGAAAAAGCATGTGCAGGAGAACGGCTCCCAAGGTGGGCTGGGAAAAATGTGTCCAGCTGGGAGAGCCAGGAGCCCCAGCCATGAAGTCACTGCCAGGCTGTGCCTCTTTCCCCCTGTGTAAAAGACATACCTGCCTCTGGAAAGCACTGCTTTTGTGGTGCTGGACAAATATTTGGTGTGCTCCTCTGTGGCATGCTGAGCTGGGAGCAGGGAAGCCTGGAGGTCTCCAGGTGCAGGCTCTGCAGAGCATTCCCTCCTGCTCTCCTGATCCTGCTGGCCTCTGTCATCCTGTTTGTTTATCATGAGGGATGATTAACTGTGCAATCCCCTTATCCCTTTGATCAGCTAAAGCTCCCTCTGGGAGAGGTGGGTGGAGGGGGCAGTTATAGCCAATAATCCAAGACATTATAGAAATAAATAAAAAAAGAAAGAAAAAAGGGTCCCTTCAGTGCAGGGCCCTGCAAATTGAATTTGCCAGTAGGAAGCTCCAGCTATTTGCAAACAATTAACTGGATTAGCGAAAAATTACTGTAAAGGAGCACGAGGAAATGGAGAGGAGAGACATGACCCTGGCAGGGCTGCACTTCTCTTTTCTCCAGCCAGTCCCAGTGCAACAGGAGGGGCTGTTCTTCCTCACTGCTCCTCATGGCACCAGGCTGAGCGATGAAGGTGTTGTGCAAAGGACAGAGGGTTGTGGCTCCCCTGTCCTTGATGGGTTGTGCCAGCTGCTTCCAGATGTGTTAAATTTGTCCCCCTAAGCCACGTGGATGGACGTTGCTCCTTTCAGTCCTGCCAGCACAGGAGCACTGTGTCCACAGGCTGGAGATAAGCATGGCATAGGCAGGGGAGCATCCAGTGCATTCCCAATGCCACTGGTCTGCACTGCCTTGGTGAGGCTGGTCCCCTGCCCAGGGCTCTCCCCAGCCAGTGCCTGGGGAAGGTGCCAGTTTTGGGGTGCCCTCTTAAGCCAGCTGGTTAAAGCTGTGCCCTGTGCAAACAAGGTCATTACCAAGGGCTCAGGTGCCAGGTTTACCCTGGATTAATGCCTCCAGTGTGCAGCCCAGGAGCTGGTTTGGAGGAATCATTTGTCTGCCTCTCCCCTGCTTTGTGGGACTTTGGTCTCTGTAAGTCAGTGCTCTGCCCCTGCCTGGCCTCTTGCAGATCTTAAGCCAAAAGACAGTTGTATTTTATTGACTTCTGGACCCTTGAATCCGCTGGGGGTGGTGGGGAAAGAGCTTGGTGGAGGAGCTGTGTGCGCTGCACAAATGGATTTGATCTTCTTTTTCCCCAGAAACCCAGAGTGTCGTTACCTGGCGAGTGCCTCCAAGGACGGCAGCGTCCGCATCTGGGACACACTGATGGGCAGGTGTGACAAAATCCTCACGAGCCACACGCAGTCGGTGACGTGTGTGAAGTGGGGGGGTGATGGCTTGATCTACTCCTCCTCCCAGGACAGGACCATCAAAGTCTGGAGGAGCCAGGATGTGAGTGAGGCAGCAGCCCCGGGGCTGCTGGCAAAGGGGGCTGGGCACAATGTGTGGTAGCTTTGTCTGCTCTTCCTGGCACAGCTTGTGCCCTGGAAAACAGAGCTGCAGAGCAGGTGCTGTATCTTCTTGACCTATCAAAACCTGTTGCTTGACACAATTTGGAAGGGGTGGCTGTTGTGCAATATTTTCATCTCTAAGAGCATTAAATGGGGCTAAAAGCTGGAAACATCCCAGAGGCAACCTGTGCTGGTGGGTGTCCTCAAGCTCCTGTGGGAAACTGATTCCTGAAGCTCAACTGTGTCGTTTCTTCCCTGCCGCAGTCCTGCCTGCTGCTTGGGCGAGAGGGCTGGGAAAGTTTGGTGTTGGTCCTTGCAGCCCGGTGGGTCTGGTGGGTGCTGGGCAGCCTGGCTGTGTGCTGCCTCCCTCCCTGAGGGGTGGTTGTGTCCCCAGGGGGTGCTGTGCCGCAGCCTGCAGGGCCACGCTCACTGGGTGAACACCATGGCCCTGAGCACCGACTACGTCCTCCGCACCGGGGCCTTCGAACCCGCCGAGGCCACGATCAACCCACAGGACGTCAGCGGCTCCCGTGAGTGCAGCACCCTCTTGCAGGCGGGGGGAGGCAGGGGGGAGGATAAAGGGGAGACCTGATACCATGTTGCCACGAGCCAAAGCAACCTTGGGAGCTGGGAGCAGGTCCTGTGCTCATGTCGGTCGTGCTGACAGCTGTGATCTTCCTCGCCCTTGCCAGGGCCGAGCAGTCTGGGGGATGGGAAGGTCGCTCTGTTTCCAAGGGCTTTTGCTCCCAAATTGCCCTTGGCAAAGAGGAGGTGGGTGAGAAGTCACAAATGCGTCTGCTTGGCCCACGGAGCCAGGATTGGAATTGGCATCTCAGGGTTATAAAGTTTCCTTTCTCCGGATTGCATATCTCTCTTCCCCTCTCCTTTTCCCTTTCTCAGTGGCAGAACTGAAGGACAAGGCTCAGCAAAGGTACAACCAAGTCCGGGTGAGTCCCCTTTGTCCCTGCTGTCATTTCTAACACTGCCACTGGTGGAAGCAGTAAATGTGCACAGTGGGCTCTGGGCCCCAACACTGGTGTGCTTCCAAGCTCTCCACACCTGGCCCATACAAGACTTGGGCTCTTTCCTCCCTTTCTCAGGGCCAGGAACCAGAAAGGCTCGTCTCGGGGTCAGATGATTTCACCCTGTTTCTCTGGAGACCAGCAGAAGACAAGAAGCCGCTGGAGAGAATGACAGGCCACCAGGCATTGATCAACCAAGTCCTCTTCTCGCCAGACACCCGGATAATAGCCAGTGCTTCCTTTGACAAGTCCATAAAGCTCTGGGATGGTAGGACAGGAAAGTGAGTTGTTTTGTTCTGTTGCTAGTATAGGGTCTGCAGGGGTGGGCTCCAGTGTCATTGCCAGCAGCCCCCTGCTGTGTTCAGCATCTCAGCAGCCTGAACTCATGCAAAGTCATTCTGCTGCCTCTGTCTTTTTCTGCCCTTGGGAAGTCCCTTGTCTGGCTCTTCTTGTGTCAGGGGGTCTTCTTGTGCTTGGCTGTGTGTGTGCAGCGCCACTGCCACCCAGCCACAGCACTGCCTGGCACCTGTGGCACACACAGTCTGCTGCAGGGTGAGTTCTCTGAGCTGCAGTGGGATGGGATGTTCCACTCGGCTGATCTCCTGAAGATGTGTGTGTTGGGCACTGTAGACTGACCCAGTTTAAACAGTTCCCGTGCCAGAGAACAGCTTGTTCTGGATGATGCAAATTCTTGTAGTTACAAGTGGTGCTGTTGGTGTTTGGATGCTCCTGGAATCCAGCTTTTAGCCTTCAGCTGGAGTACTGGTGAGCTCTTGGGGCAGCAGTCCTTCCCTGCAGAGCAACCTTTATGCTCGTGAGCTTGGCATTCCTGTCAGTAATTTTAAAGATCCCTCTAAATCCAGGCTGCTTGGCCAGAAAAAGGAAGAACGCATCTGTGCAGTAAGGCTGTAGCGTTGCCTGCTGGGTAAGAGTTTCTTGGCAGATGAGGTGAGATGAAGAGTCATCCTCCAGAAGGTTCTGAGTCCACCTGGGAGGGTTTTTAGATGGACTGAGCAATCTGTGGACTCTGTCTCGCAGTTGACTGGCTGGGGTGTGCTGAGCATCTTGTGACTGGGCTGGTTTGCTCACGGGTGGAGAAGAAACAGGAAGACCAGGGCAGGTTTGAACAAGCCGTGCTGCTCTAACAGCTTGTGCTCTGCTGTGCTCAGGTACCTGACATCGCTGCGGGGGCACGTCTCGGCCGTGTACCAGATCGCCTGGTCGGCCGACAGCCGCTTGCTGGTGAGCGGCAGCAGCGACAGCACCCTCAAGGTCTGGGATGCCAAGACAAAGAAACTGGCCATCGATCTTCCTGGCCATGCAGATGAGGTGAGCTGTTTGGTTGAGGTGAGGTGTTGGTGTTTGAGAGAGGCAGGAGTGACTCCTCCTCCCAGCAGAACTAACTGTCTTTTCCGTGACATCAGGTGTACGCAACGGATTGGAGCCCGGACGGACAGAGGGTGGCGAGTGGAGGGAAGGATAAGTGTTTGAGGATGTAAGTAACCTGTTGTCTGTCCATAGAGGATGTTGCAGCTACTCTGTGTCCCTCAGAGCCACAGGCTCCTTGCAGAGACCTGCATGGTTAGGGCATGATCTGTCCTTGCAGAGAGCACAGCGCTGGGTCACACTCTGGCTTGGAGACCTGACCTCCCTCAGGGCAGGAGCTGCTGCTGTCCCTTGGCAGCTGACTAGAAAGCAGAGTCCCTGTAGCTGAGCAGTCTGGGTGAAATTTGACTCAGATATTTTGGCTCCTGGAGAGGGGAAAGAACATTTGTACCAGTTGGTCAGACCTTCATTTCTCACCTTGCTCCCTCTCCCAGTTATGCAGATGGACAAATTCCTGTGAGCTGGCTGCCATTTGACCATGGCTGGTGAACCCAGTCCCTGGGCCCTGCTGTGCTGCTCCCATATGGTGCCTGTGGGCAGCACTGGTGCCCAACCACAGGGACAAAGCAGTTCTTTCCATTTGCAGATGGCGTCGATAGGAAGAGAGACACGAAGCTGCTGGTCCTGTCCTCGGCACAACGTGCCTGGAAGATCTCCAAGGGGAAGGATGACGGAGGCCGACCCGAGCACGACTCCCTGTTCCTGTTGGCTACTCTCCCTCTTGGACTCTTTCCTTATATTTATTTAAGGAAATTTTAATTCTAGTTCTTATTAAGAGCTGTGCTTTGCAGGATGATTTCCTCTGAACATTACAGGAGGGATATCTCATCTGCCTGCATCTCAACTGGCTTTTTATTGGAATTTCAACCTCACAGAAGCCCTCTGCCTTGAAAGGGGCAAGTGAAGGGCAGGGATGGCTCTTGCCCTTTCTTGGCTGTGTGAAGAATCCTATGGAGAAGAGGGATTTAGTGGGAACTGAAAGGGTTGTCCCTGTGTGACCTTCAGAGAGAGAAGTGGGAAAATTCAGGACATCAATTACATTGCAGAATTGTGCTCGGCTGCGTGTCTGGGACAAAGATCTGCTGCGAATAAGGTCTTGGGGCTTCTCCTTATTGCAGTAAGATTTTGCCTTTCCACTCAGCCCACTTCCCTGTGGGCTGTGCTGAGCATTATCTGTGGATTCTCTGCGTCCACAAAGGATAACTCCTTCACTCGTCTGTTCAGGGTCCAACGTGCATGGACTTCAAATGACTGCTGGAGCTGTGCAGAGTTTTCAGGTCTCAACAGCTCTTGGAAATGGGGAAATGAGACACTTGTGCCTCTGAACAGGGGAGGAAGCATCCATTTCCCATCCACCGCTGGCTCAGGGGGGAAGGAAGGATAGGGTGGGGAAGGGGAAGAATGGAGCTGGCATTTGGGGTGGTGTTTGTCCCTTGCCCTGGATATGTGCTGACAGCAGGACTGGGACTGTCACAGTAAATGGCAAAACTTCCATTGCACAGAGTTGGCTCCTTCTGGAATTTCTTAAGTGCATTTACTTGCCCAGTGGGTGAGAGGGATTCACACTGTCAGTTGTGTATTTCTAAACTTGCTTATGAGCCTTTTTATAAGTCAGTTCAGGCTTCCAGCCATCATGAGACGAATAGACCTGGATTTGTGTTTATTTCCAGGATGCTTATGAAACAGGGAAAATCAAGATGTGATTACTAAGGAGCAGACAATTATATTGTCAAATTTAGTTGCAGCAGGTTAATATGAAGGTCAAAACATTCTTCATAGCCCTCATCCTACAGTTGCTACTCAGTGATTACAACAACTCAGAGTGGGAGTTTGAGTCTCAGATGCTTCCCAGCTGCAGAAGACGCATTTTAGGACTTTTTTCTTGCTGGCAGGATTGCTTTGGAGAATTAAGAGGGGATGGTGCAGTAATGGCCATTTGCTTGTTTGCAAGTGTTCAGGGGAGAAAAAGACTGGAACAAAGGGTTAAATCTTTGATATGGCTGAGAAGACAATTTGTGGTTCCTGTTGTTTCTCTTTTTGCCAGCGAAGTCAGCAGGCTCTGTCTTTGTGGGATCTTTTGGAAGACCTCAGTATCCCCTAGCTGCTCTTTCATTAATGTGCTTCTTCCAGCTGGTTCTTGCTGACAGTGAAGGCCGTGTTGCATCCAATCTGCATAAACAAAACCTTTCCTAACGCACTGAGGTAAATGTTGTGGGACAGGGTGATTTAAAACTGTAGCTGATAATTCTGCCTCCCCAGACTGCTGTGCCCTTGGGAAGGAGAGGAGCAGGTCTCTGGTAGTGGCCAGGAAGTGTGCCTGTTTTGAAAGTTTTTTGGGATGCTTGTGCTAAAGAAAACAGTCCACCCTTGGGAATTCAGCTCTGTGTCCCCAGGTCTGACTTGCTGAAAGCAGCAGCTCCTGGTGTGGCTCTTTGCAGGGGAACAAGCATCGTTCTCTGCTTCCTTCCCTGAAGTGCTGCACGGGGTCACTGTGCCCTGTCAGTGCTGGCTGTGTTTTGTGTTGGAAGCAGGGCTGTATTGGAGCTGAGGGAGGCAGTCCTGCCTGTGGGAGCTGGCTTGGCTGTGCATGTGTGTAGGTGTACCTAAAATAAATCAGTGTACCTTGTCCCCTGATTTCCAAACCAAAGCAATTGCTGTGCCCTCTGGCCGTGCTCCTGCCATCCCTTCAGACTCTGCTTCTGTGACATTTGGCACCAAGCAGAGCCTGATTAAAACCCACCTTCCTAATGCTGGAGCAGAAAGGTTTTCCAAAGGGAAGTGAGACCTCTTGAACACAAAAGAGAGGGCCTTGCAACTAAGTTTACACCAAAATAAGCTCTCTTGCCCTTAATCTTTCTCTGATCTGATAGCAGGTACATTTTTGAACCACGCTCAGTGATGGGTTTGCATGTAAACCAAATTGTATTTTCTTATCCAAGCATCTGCTACTATTTTTATCATTCATACAGCACCAGCCTTCATACATGCTAAGTGCTGGCCCCGCTCCAGCTGTATTCCTGAGCAATTCCGTAACACTCCTCCCAGTTTCATTTGAATGCGGCACTTCCCGGGCCTGGCTCTGCAGTCTCCCGCCTGGAGAGCTGCTGCCCTTCCCTTCGGAGCTGGCTCCTTCTTGGCAGGAGGTGCAGCGGGCGCGTGACCTCCCTCGCTGGGGGTGGGAGCTTTAATTAGCCGATTTTGGGAATTGCAGATTGCAAATTAGGGCTGATGGTTGTTATTAACAGGGAAGACATTACTTTTTGTTAAAAGGACAAATCTAGAAGGTAAGGCTGGAGCTTTCTGATTGCTCTTCTGGGAACGGCAGCACTAACCTCTGCTGAAACAGCTGAGCTTTTCCAGTGCTGTGTGAAAGGAATCTCGGGATCTGCTCCTGTGTTTCAGTCCAAGTTCCTCCTGAGTTACTTGTTAAACATCCCACACAGGTTTTCCTACCACAAGGGCGTTATTTTTCACTGGTAATACAAGAATAATTTTAAGCATATCCAGAAACTGTCCCACAGAGCCCTCTGACACTTTCCTCTTTAAAAGCTGTGATGCCACCATTAATTTTGTTACAAGTCCCCAGTGGGAGGACAGTGATGATAAGGACTGGGAAGCGTGCCAGTCCTCTGAGAAAGGTTTACCTGTCTAATAAATTCCTGAGTATGATGGAGGGAAGGAAGGGATATGATAAGAACACCTAGAGTGAAGTAGATCATTTGGGATAGCGTTGAGGCGAGCAGTATGGTGCCAAACTCCTGCCCTTTGGAGGCTGATTTAGATAAGTGAGGCCTTAGAATCCTTATGAAAACTGTTCTTGGGGCTGTGTGTCCTGCTTATCCATGCAGGAGGGCTGGCAAGTGGTGTGTGTGTTGTGCTTCCTGGGTTCTGGGTCCTTGGAGCCACACGTTGCTTTTCTGCTTGACTCAGATGATCTCTTGAACATTTTCCCGGATCTGTAATTTAATTTCCATGTGCATGTTTATAGCCTGGGGAGAGAGACAAGAAAAATCTTTCAATGAATAGGAAGAAAATGATCTTCATTCATTTGTCTGCACGAAAAGGAGCTTCTCTCAGCTTTTTTTGGGTCAACCCAGGCACTGTTCAGATGATGTTTCTACCTCAAGGCTGCATTTTGGCGGTATGGCAGAAAATGGCTTGCTGTGAAGACCATTAGTGCTTTTGAGGATGAAAGGTGTTATGGAAACTCAGGACAGTGACGTCTGTGTTTTGGGGAGCTGCTACCAGATGAAAATGTACTTCTCTGCGCTCGGACAAGCAACCTGGAAGGTGCTAATTTCTTCCTCAATGCTAATTTCTAGCTCTTGTGATCAAGAGCCCTGTGTCACACCTGAGGGACCAATTGGCTGAACCGATGTAGTGCAGCTGGGAAGGAGCCACAAAGCCATGTCTAGTGCTGCTCTTCTGTTTCCTCCACTCTGACTGTATAAATCAGTGGTCCTCACCAAGCTATGGGTTGCCAGTGGTCTCTGTCAGGGGGCTGTGGCTCTTGCAGAGTGTGCTATTAAAAATGAACAAACTCAGGGCACAGTATCTGTGCTTTTGAAGGTTGATTACCCGTGGTACTGGTGCCCGTTGCCTGGTGGTGCTTTTGGAGCGTGCTGGGTGTTTTATTGTCCTGCCACGTGGCTGTCAGAGCGGGGCATCCCCCCAGGGGCTGCAGGGCTGCTGCGCTGCCAGCACTTAATGCCAAATATCCATGTGGATTCCTTGAGGGAGGGAGGAGCAGCAGGAGCCCCATGGGGTTATCCTGCATCGCCGTCCCAGTGTCTCCAGTGTCGAGGCTCCCTTGGGGAAGGGCAGGTGAATTCATTCTGTTCTGCCTCTGACCCCTTTCGGCAGCAAAAGCAAGTGAAGGTGCTGTTTGTAAATAGGTTTATTGTAGTCTGGGTGCTGGAGATACCGACATCCCAAAACTCTCCTGGACACCAATCAAGGCCCTAGCTCGAAGGAGTGACCCGCATGCAAATCCCTCAGCCTCCTGAGCGCTGTTCCAGAGCTCAGCCTTCGGATCCCGCTCGGATCCCAGTGCAGCGTGTTTAGTTATTCCGGTCAAACCTCCCTGCCGCTCCTGGCTGTTTGTCCTTGCTGTGCTGAAACAAACCTGCTCGAGGGCTCCAGCTCCATTAGGAGGACAAAAGGACATCAGGCAGCGCTGCTGCCGAAGGGAGATGTGTCTGGGTTTGGAAGTGGGATGCAGAATGGGTGGCTTAGGAATTACTGTTGTGGCATTCTCTGTTCAAAAGGCATCTTCTGAATGAATTAATTTTTTTTAGCTTCCCGAAAATGTAGCTGGTGACATTGACTTTGGGGTGAGGATACATGCTGATGCTGAGAGGATTAATACTGAATGTGAGACTCTGTGGATGGCAATAAACAACCAGTTCTCGGGGAAATTATTTTCTGAATCAGAATATTTAACACATGGAGGCTTGTGGGCTTTTTCCTGGTTTAAAGGGGCACTGTGAAGAGTACTAGAAAGTGTCTGTTACTACCAACACCTTAATTTATTATTAACTTGGAATATTTTTACATCTCATTTATTCCTTACACGGGGGTGTTCTGAGCTGTTGAAATTATTGGTCAGCTTTGCTTTCTCAGTGTTGCTTGTTGGGGTAATGCCACGGATGGATTTTGGATGGGAGCTCAAAACTTCAGCAAATAGAGGGGGATTCAGTCTGGAGAGGTTTTAAAGGCCTTCTGTTCTCTTTGGCACAAAACAGATTTCTTAGTATTCCTCTGATGTTATGATTTAGACATATGATGTCTAAAGCTTAAAGTGTCCTTCATAAGGCTCTCTATCTTCCCTTAAAAATCTCTTGCTGAATACTTTTTTAATCTAAGTGCATTTTCTTTGGAGAAGTCTTTAGCTGCAGAGGTTCTGACATGGCACATTGGCCCCAGTAGTGCCTGGTTTTGAGTGCTAGAAAGTGAGGGGAGATAAGTGAAGAATGGGGAGAGGCCCAACTGCGTAAATCCTCGCTCAGTCTCTATTTTGATCTGGTGACACTGAAAGCAGAGCCTGTGTCATGTGGGGAAGGCACAGCACAGCCATGTGGGGTCAGAGCTCTGCCCCCGTGACCCCAGTGCACCCCCTGCATCGACTGGGGCCCATGGGGATAACTGGGAGGCCTGAAAGAGCCTGAACTGGGATGTGGAGGTGGCGTGATGGTGAACATGGACAGAGAGGAGGGGCAGAGAGCAGTGAGAAATGCAGAGGAAAGGAGCATAATTATGTAAACCTGGAGGTGAAGGTCAAAGGCTCCATGTGACTGTTGTGTGGTGGCTGCTTGGTTTTCTTTTTTTAATGTTTGTACATGCTGTAAACAGCCCCAGGCTTATCCAGAGGTGCTGGGAGACAGGCTGTAAATTACAGGCGTTGTTCTCCTTATAAAGAGTGAGCAACTCGAAGTGTCTTGGGCTGACAGCACTTTGCATGTTTGCTCCTCCATTGCTTCTCCATTCATTGAAGTCCCTTGTTTTAGGTTTGATGTAGAGTCTTGCTCACTGATGGAGCAGGGACTGGGCTGAGAGTGTGCTGGGTAAGCAGTGCCACTGCCCTGGGAGCCAGGGATGATCCCATACCTGTCTTCACACTGTCCCAGCCCTTGTCCTGCCCTGCTCTGTGCTGGGGGCAGATGGCCTGTGGGGCACTGACTGTCCTCCCTCCTCTGCTGGTGGCCCCTCAGCTTTGTCCTCACTGTCGGGTGAGCCTGAAGCAGCCAAGGAAAGGACTGAAGTGAAAAACAAGTGTGAAAGTGATGGCCGGGGGTGAGGGGCTGGAGTTTGGCCGCCCTGCCCGGGCTTCAGGCTGAGGGCAGGGGTGGGCCCAGGGGCCTGGGTCGCTGTCCTGCCTGAGGGGATGAGCAGAAGGGACCCCAGGAGCCATGGTGGGGCGCGGGGAGAGCTCGGCGGGTCCCTGGGAGGGCTCGGTGGGGCCCGGGCTGTGGCGGTGACCCCGGCCCGGGCCGGCCCCGCTCCTGAGGCGGCGGCGGAGGGACCGCCGGGTTACCCGGGGTGAGGCACTCTTTGGCCGCCCGCGGAAGCACCTGAGCACCGGGGCCTGCGCAATGCGGCCTATAAAAGCCGCGGGGCGGCGCGGAGGTCTGGGCACTGGCAGCCGGGGCTGGCCGAGTGCGGATCGTTGGGGGAGGCGCTGGTGGAGCGGTAGGAGCCCCGGGAGGCGCTGACGGCCTGAGAGACCCCCCCGTCCGCACCCTCACTGCTTCCTCCCCTCCCGCGAGGGCTGCGGCGGCGACAGCGACAGCCATCCCTGGAGCTGCGGGCCGCGTCTCCTCCCCTCCTCGCTGGATGCTCTGGAGCTCGGTCCCTGAGCGGGGCCGCGGCGCCGGCAGCCCCCGCTGTGGCGGGGCCATGGGGCCGGGCAGCAGCAGGGCGAGGAGCCCCCTTCCCCGCTGAGAAGGCCCCCTGGTCCCGGCGCCGATGCCGCGCTGTCCCCTCACACCCGGCCCCTGAGACTGCCCCCTTTCCCCTCCCCATGCCCGACGGAGCCCCTCGCCTCGGTGACGCCCTGCAGCAGCCCCGCCGGCCCGGGGGTCTGCGGCGGTATGAGAGGAGCTGCCCCCGCCGCCGGGGGCAGCCAGGACCGGGGCAGGCTCCCACCCCGCCGCCGGCTGCCGTGAGGCGGCTGTAGCTGGAGGAAGAGCCCCTTTGTTTTCCCTCCGTCCTTCCCGGGGGCTTCATGCCCCGCTGAGGGATGATGGAGGTGGTGGGGGACTTTGAGTACAGCAAGAAGGACCTGATAGGACACGGAGCCTTTGCTGTGGTCTTCAAAGGTCGCCACCGCAAGGTAAACAGCGATGGGGCTTCGCCCGCAGCCGGAGCGGGGCTGGTTACACAACCCGGGGCCCGGAGCAGCCCCTCGGGTGGGTGACAGCGGCGGTGGGGGGGGGTGTGACCTCTGGGGAGTTTTGGGGACGAAAAAGAGCCGGAGGAAGGTGCGGGGTGGGCGGTGGTGCCGAGGCTGCCCCGCGGCCCTGAGCCGGGATCCGGCCCCGGCCTCCATAAACCCTGTATTTTTTTTCCCCTGCCCTAAACCCCGCCGCGGTCCCTCCCCGCTGTTGGCAGCTCCCTGACACAGCGGCGAGGGGAGAGTTTGCAGCTGTAGGGGAGGCTGAGCCCTTTGTTTGTCGGGAGGGTCATGTTTATCTCGCTGGATAACGAGGGATCTTAATGGAAAAATTGTCTCCTTTGGGGATTGGCTGAAGATTTCTTAAATTCAGAGGTGTCTGGTTTCCTGGCGTGACTCGCTAATCGCCCTGGATATTCATAGTTACGTTATGGTTTCTCGATGCTGTGAGAGTTTATTCTGGTGTTGGTGCCTAAAGGGCTTTGCCTTCCAAAAAACACCCCATCAGGTTTATCATCTTTTAGGATTAGGGCAGTGCTCGCAGCTTGGAGAGACACAACGCAGTGATTTGGGGGTTAAAAAAAAAAGGTGGGGGAGAAAGGGAAACAGGAACTTTAAAGGCCAATGGAGATCCTTGCACCTTACAAAGAAATACTTAATTTATATGTTGTCTATTTATATGTTATCCGAAAATAAGCTTTCTTAAAACAGATTTTTTTTGTGCAGTTTTCAGCTGCAGAGCGTAAAAAGGCTGTAAATGGAAAGTCTTTAAAGGAAAGTTAAAGTAACTCAGTCACTGCCAGAGGACTAAAAAGCACCACTACCAAAAAATAAATGGGATATTACTTGGTTTTTTGTTGTTGGAGGGTTTTTTAGTGCTTTAGAATCCATTAAAATGCAGTGTAGCTGCAGCTGGATTTTAATAGCTGTCTAAGCTATTGTGGAATGGAATAGTTCTTGATGGTGTCATGTGATGTAGAAATCACTGTTGGATAGAGGAGGGGTGATCTTGCAACTTTTTCTCAGTGCTTTACCGGATAGTTGTTAGAGGATAAAGTTAAAAAAAAAGCAAAACCAAAAACTGACAATACAATTTTTGTTTATTTCCAGAAAACTGATTGGGAAGTAGCCATAAAGAGTATTAACAAAAAGAACTTGTCAAAGTCACAAATCCTACTCGGAAAAGAAATAAAAATCTTAAAGGTATGTTAATATGCAGTGATTTTTAAAGCTGCTTTGCTTGAAAAGGAAAAGACTTCTGACCTAGTTCATTCCAGGTCACTGGTGGTATCACGGTAATTGCTATTGTGCTGTTTGTTTCTTTGTTACTAATCCAGAAATAAAAAGCCAAAGGAGAAAAAAAAGAAAAATATACATATTTAGTTCTGGAAATGTCTCAGAGCAGGTTATGGGTGTGCTTTTGTGGTTAAAAGTGGAAAATTGTTGTGGAACCAGTCTCTGTGCTTTGCTTGTTGCACATGTGGAAAACTCTGTCCTTCAGGATGGCCAGTGTGGCACCTCTGCCAAGCAAATCATAGCTGAGGGCAAAACATCAGCCTTTGATCTTTCTTCACCTCTTTTTTGCCCGAAAGCTGAAGTCAGCACGCTGAATTTGATTCCTGAAGCAGTCTGCCCACTTCTGAGTTGGGTTAATTGGCTTAAAACATGTAGTGTGGCTCTAACAGAGGGAATGCAACAGAGCATCGTTTGGTTTTTCAGTGCTGTTTTATGGAAACATCTCCCTGGATGGTCATTTAATATTCTCTGCTTTCTTTCCATGTTTCCAAGCCTCTTGAGATACATCACTAGTTTATATACCAATATATAAGTATTATAGTATATTTGTTATACCCAGAAATTGCAGTGTTTGGTCTATTAGTGTGCTGCAAGTACTTAGCAAAGACGTTGGTTTTTGAGCAGTTACAAATAATTGCTTGAGCTGTCCTGTTTCATTTGATGTTATTGGGTTTGATTTCCTTTGTATTATGAAAGCAAGAAATTGTGTAAGACTAGAAAATTAATTCTTGTCAGTTTTCAGTGCTCATTAAAGGATCTTGTACTCCAGTACTTTCTGTAACAAGTCATAGACATTAAGTTCTGGAACTAAATGTTTTTATGACCTCTGAAGATATTGCCTAATTTGCTATTCCTGTAAATATTGTCTAAATAGCTGAGATTTCCTCCAAATTCCATCAGATGGTCTTAAAAAGATTCTCTTAGATTATCACCAAATCAGCACTATCAGCAAATTAAATTTAAAATAATAATAGTAGTAACAATAATAGCCTATTTCCATAATACAAATATTTTGTTTTACAGGAACTTCAGCATGAGAACATTGTAGCTCTTTATGATGTCCAGGTAAAATATATTTTGATGCCTTTTTCTTCATTAAAATTTGCTTAGGACAATGTAATGCATATAACTGTATAGAGCAGAAAATTTTGAATGGCCATATATTTGTCATCAGTCTGGTGTTCAGAAAAAGCAAGTGGCAGCCTGAGAATCTCTTCAGAGGCCGTTTGTGTAGTTTGGTTCTGTCTCCAGAGGAAAAGCACCAGCTGGGCTGGGAGCTCTTGTCAGTGGCAGGAACTGTTCTCCTGAATTAGCCTTGTTTTAATTTAATTGGAAAGTGGGTGTTTGTGGGTAACAACTGGATACATCTGAAGGAAAATGTGCTGGTGGGATCTGAATGGATGGAGCAAGGGGCATTAAGACAGTCAACATAGTTAAAATAGTTGTAGACAAGGAGCAGGGTCTTGGAGATCTCTGTAACAAAGAAACGTGTTGTGTAGTCCTGTGTCGTGGTGAGGAGGAACTGAAGTAGAAAACCATGATCACACATGTCTGTATCCCTGTTGCCTGTGTTCTAAAGGACAGGATGAAGTATAAAAGCCTAGCAGACACTTGGATCTTTTCAAGTAGGAGAAATAAGTATTAAATTGCTTCAAATTGTCTTCCTCTCTTTGTTCCCAGAATTGTGCCTGATAAGGTGGAGGAGCTGGCTCTCTAGCCTATCTAGGGTAGAGTGTTCTACTTAGTAGGAAGTACATTTTTGTATCCTAAGGCCTGTGAGTTGTTGAGCAAAGCTAAATAAGACATGAGGTAGCTCATACAGCCATTTGTTCTGCTTGAATGAGAACTATACCTTCATCTCCTGGGCTTAATTCTAATTTTAAGTACAGAGTTACACTGATGAAAAAAATTACTAAGAACCACCCTTGGGGCATTGCATAGTTAAAGCAATGCAAAATAGACATTGTGACATTCTTCAGTGTTTTCTGTCTTGGCACATTCACATCCTAAAAGGTTTTCAGTTTGTAACTGTGAATCTTTAACTGTAGAAATCTGTGCTCATGGGACATACCTCAGGCAGGCTCAGGTTCTCCAGTGTCCAGGGCTACAGGGCATGTACTGACTTGTCTTGACTTTTGGTACAAGCAGTGATATTTGTGTAGCAACAGATTGTGCATCAGAACTTCCCATTGGGATGTGTGTGGAGTCCTCTCCCTCCCAGATCTCGACTTCAAAATTCTTCATTCTGAAGGATGTTATCTGCTCTGAGAGGGAAAGTATGGTCTCTTGTGCTTCCTGAGGAGACCAGGTTTTACTGAGTATTGCTAAGTGGAAATAATCCCTCAGCATCCTAAATTTAGTATATCCAGACATCTTAAAAGCAAGTGGAATTCTTGACTGAGGGCGTTGGTGTGTGAGCAAGCAGCTGAGTTTCAGATTTATCATTTACAGTTGTTTATATGTGAAGATTCCTTGGTGAGCTTTGCAGCTCAACCTGGGGGGAGTTGACTAGATCTGTATTTTGATGATTTAACATTGTGTATCTTCTGAGCCTTGTTCTTTTAATTTATGCACATAGGAGGAGAGGACAGAGCCCTACGCTTGTCTATGGTTTCTTTACCTAAAGGTTATTTATAAACATAACTTTCATGCTTTTCTGTTGTACCACAGGAAAGGGTGTCCCTCGAGTTGACAGAACTTCTGGAATGATCAGTGCTGTACTCTCCATTTGAGAGAGGGATCTTGCTGCTTGTCACCAACTGTTGTGTTTCAATAAAACAAACAGTTAAAGCAAAGAGAAAGGCAAACCTGTGTCTTGTACCTTGATATATTT